GGAGGTTGTTATGAAAGGGGCCTTGGAAAGTCACAGACTCCTTGGTACCATTATCTGGATCGATTTGGGACTCAAGATACTTAATTGCCCACTTGGGAATTACGTCTTATGACTCTGCTTCTCCATGATGGATTAAGATGGGCTTGCAAATTTTGCCACTGGGGCAAAGGATTATAGCTATTTCCTTTACTTCAAGGAAATATTTTGGGTTCATCACATAAGCCATTACCAGCACACTTTTTTCTGTAAAGGCCCAGAGAGTCAATATTTTAGGCCTTGTGGGCCAAAAGGTCTCTGTCATAACTATTCAACTTGGCCTGTGTGGCACAAAAGAAGCCATAGGCAATGTGTAAATAAATGAGCAGAGCAGTGTGCTGATAAAACTTTATTGACAAAAACGAGCAGCAGGTTGGATTTGGACCACAGGCTATAGTTTGCGAATCCCTGACATAAACTGTTCTGTGTGCGAGTGTCAGTATGAGGAGGAAATGAGATTCACTGACACCCTTAGAAAGGAGGTTGCTGCTTTGGTACAAGAAAACTTTGAGGCCTCCTTGTTCTACCATTATCTCAGTAACCTCAAATAATATCAGAAACTGCATTTTTAACACAATCCCCCGGTGGTTTGTACACATTACACCTGGAGACCAGTGTGTCTCAACCACCAGTCAAATTACAGACTCTGAGGCCTGAGGCTCTGTATTTTCAACAAGCTCCTGGGTAACACGGATGCTGTCAGTGGATGATGCTTCATTTGGGGATGATCTGTTTTGGAACATCCTCCACAAGACCCAGTTCTGGGGTAAAACATGGGAACAGGTGGCTCCCAGCAGCCCACCACCACCCACCCACTTTCTCTAACCCCAGAGAACATATGTGTAATACTATGCTAGATGGTACACAAAAGCAAAAGTACCTGATGGAGGCTCAGACCTTGGCTAAGAGGTCCTTACAATCTTTTTATTGTGGCGGGCGGGGCGGTGGGGTGCGGGGAGTGAGAGAGGGGAGCTCATACACATAAAAAAATTAATCAATATAAGAGGTCATAGGAATGTCTAAGACCCTGAGACATCAGTGAAAAAATCCTGACCAATGCTATGAATGTCTAGAAGGGTTACCCCTACCTACTCTCATCCATCACAGGAGGAGGAACCAGGGGCTCCACACCCAAAGAAGCAGGAGCTTTGAGTAGGTTCAAGCGCAGAAGGAAATTCAGCGAATGCTGCCAGTCAGGAAACCTCACATCATTCCTGCAGCCCACAGTCTCAGGCTAAGGTAATTAATATAATATGAGAAATTATAAGGCGATGAACATTGAAACAATGGAAAGAAGATTCTTGCTAGCAACTCTGGGTTGGGCAATGCAGTCTGTGGCTGACCCTTAAATCTAGTCTTATAAGCTGTGAAGATCAAAGCAAAAACAAGAGGCTGACACCTTAGAAAATGCTGGCTCCAAGTGTTTCATGCATGTCTATTTTTAGGGCCCTGAATAGTTCCCGCTTAAACCTCTTTCAGAAGTGCACTCACACTGGGCAAGAGGAGCACGGACCAGGTAGATGCTAAGATGGCGTCCAGATGTCACAGCCCAGCCAGTGGTCAGAGCTCTCCCCAATCTGGCAGCCACCCTCCTTTCCAGCTCTCTCTTCCACCACTCCTCGACCCTCTGTTCCCCGTAGTTTGCCATTTGTTCCCTACCCCCAACCCCCAACCCCCGAGGCAGTGCGGCCCTAGTTCACTGGTCACTCCATGTCCTTGCTGCTGAGGTCAGCTCCACTGATAACGACCAACCCATATCTCACCCCCTCTGCATACTGCACTGCTGCCCAGCCCCCCAGGCTGGGCCCCAGCCCCACCCCCTCCACAGTCAAGGACCACCCAGCCACAAGTACTATCCCCTTCCATCACCACTCACCACCCTCTGGGCGCCTCCCCCCGCATTGAGCACGGTTCTCTTTTTTGTTCCTTCCCTTTCCTGTCAGCCGTGAGCACACAGGCTGGGATGATCTCGTACTTATATTTATATGCTTTCAAGTCACTTGCAGAGTCCCTTACACAACACAGGTGTTAAACAGTTACTGCTTTTGTTAGTAAAGCTGTTACCCAAAGTCCTTGGGTCCCATGCTGCTCTCTGGCCCCACCGTTCCTTGCATTTCATCACAGTCCATTCGTGGCTCATGCTTTTCAGAATGTTGTTGGAGCCCAGTTCTTCCAGAAAGCTCTAAGCCAGCCTCTTGCACACCTCCCTGCCCCTAGGCAGGCTTGGTTCCTCGGTTTCTAACCGGTGTCTCCTCTCCTGCTTGGCACCCTACCTGTGCTCTCTGATTAGTTAGACACTGACCCTGATCCTGCCTTTTCCAAAATAATCTTGGCACCGCCATATTCCAAAATCTGAGCCATATTCCAAAATCTCAGAAGTTGAGGCTTAGGCAGCCATGTGGTCAGAGCGTCTCATCCATCTCAACCGTAATGCACTCTGCATTTGTTTGACCAGGTTTGTTCCGGTCACAGCTCCAAGTGCCACCCACCCCCACTGCCACCCCCACCTCCAACACCCCAGGCTGTGCTGTCCCCTAGACAACATGTCCTCCAGGACACATGAAAGCAGGACCTCCCATCCGAGACACTCATGAGAAACAGACCAGCCCTACCCCACTCGCAATGGGAAAAAGACCGCTTCGAACTCATGAAGGAAAATCAAGTTCCAGTTGGAAATACAAACTTTTCCTTTAAAGGAGAAGCTAACGTTAGCAGCACTGCTCTTTTGAGCTACACTCCAGTGCTTTGGGAGAGAGAGGGAAAGGAAGACAGTGTGAATGACAAGCGGACAGGAGACAAAGAGAAAAGCAGAGAGAATAGGAGCAAGAGGGAGGAGGCACGGAAGGAGGGGCGGGGGGAGGCAGAGTAAGAGCAGGAAGACCCACAGGAGAAGGAGCAGAGGGCGAGGGGAGTGGAGGGGACAAAGGGGGAGGAAAAGGCAGAGAAGACAGGCTGACTGCTCTGCGGGCTCCCCAGCAGGACCACCCGTTCTGTGGCAGCATGACAGTGTCCCCTGCGAGCTCTAACCTCCAGGAGGGGACAGGCTCTCCCCTGGCTTTTATAACACTCCACCGAGTGAAATCTACACCAGGGATTTGGTGGTGGGGGGGGGGCGGGGAGCCAAAGCCAACAACCAGACAGAATTGGAGGCATTTCTCTCCAAAGGCTATTGTTAACCTCTGCTCTCAATATTCGTGAGTGATGCCAGACCTCTGAAAAGTAGGGAACCATACATTCGGATTAGCCCCGTGTTCCAGAGTATCTATTAATAACGCCCCCTTTCCCTCACAAGTGTTCCCGTTCAGATGCTAAATTACTCACTCCTCCTATTAATAGGAGACATAGGAAACGGAGACTCGAGCCTCGGAACAGAATGAAATACTTAGTGCCATCATTCTCAGAAAAGGAGGAAGCCTGGACTGTAGACCAGAAGAGACCAGGAAGAGTCTTCCCTGGGGGAGCAGAGGTACTTGAGAAAGCTCTCGGTATAACACAATAGTGGAGGTGGGGAGAGGCGCCAGACAAGGCTTCAAGAGACAAGGCTATATATAGCACACGCCGTGGATGCTGAAATATTGATTTCTGGAAATAGTCGCTTAGGATTGGGTGGCAGGGGAAGAAAAGTCCGCAGGGACAGTTTCTGGAAAGTAAAGCAGTAGGAGCCACCAAAAAATCACATTTGAGGAATCTCGTGTAATAGAGAAAATCTGCAATAGCTTCTGGTTAGTAGCTAAATGTAGCTATGAATTATTCATTCTGAACGGCACACCAGGAAGGGTCCAGTTAAGACCTCTGAGCTCTCCAGGATCAAGAGTCTCTTGGAAGTCTATTGGAAGGAAGGGAAGGAGGGAAATAAATTAGTGTCAAGGCAAGCTGTGGGAAGAAAGGGACCCAGGATGGTTTATCACCACAAGGAGGTGAAGGAGAAATGGGGAGGAGGTTTATTCCTTGGATAATAAACAGAAGGAGTGTATAATCCAATGAGCATCTTGACAGTGAGAAGAAATCTCCTGCAGGACGACAGAAAATACTGCTCTTCCCTCCTGCCCTCACCTTCACTCGCAAGGACTCACAGGTCCACGTTATTCGCTCAGCCGCCCATTCATTGGAAGCCGCAAGGGATGTAAGTAGAAGTGGAGTCAGCGGGTTCCCCCTGAGCATCTCATGTGCACCAGACCCTGAGCTGGGTGCCAAGGCATGAAGGAGATGAGGTTTCTGCCTTCTGCGAGCTCCAGGAAGACTCGTGGAATGACTACAGTTCTAGACTCATTAGTGGGATCCGAGTCTGCTAAAGGATGAACTGAGAAGTCCCCTCGAGACCAAAATTCACCCAGAGCAGACCACCTCAACATGGGCGAACACTTCCTAGCTTCCTCACAGAAGCTCTGAGATGCACCACCCTCCTCTTTCTGCCCTGAGGCCCAGGGCTAAGTGTGGCATTTAACTGCTGGAAGTACCCTAGCCTAGGTTCTCTTGTACGTGTAACTCCTCCAAAGCTTACTACAGGACTCTGCTTCAATGACCTGGTGTTAGTAGATCTGTGAATTATTATTTTTTCTCTAAGCTACCTCAAATTATTGCTGGAAGAAGGCAACTTATTAAAAAAAATATGAAATTAGGAGAGATCCAGATTGATATGGGAAACCCAAGATTCCAGTGGGTCCTGTAGGGACAGGGAAGGCCATGATATCCTGGGTCACTCAGAGTCAGGGAGGACACCCTGAGCCAGGACACCCCAGGCTTGGCCTCTAACCTGGGGGGTAGCCGCATCTGGATCAGTCAAGTGTGAGCTGACATTCAACATCAGCTTTCCCATACAATCAAATACATGATCTCCTCTGATACCAGCTCTCGGCACAGAACCCGCATACTCGATGGACCTTGTGACACCAGCCAGGTAAGTGAGGGGCTTCAGGGCAGCCCTCCTGCCGTCAGCCTCTGGCTCAGCGACTGGCCCTACTTACATCCATGGGTGCAGAACATTCTCCGAGAAACAGAATCCTCCACAACAGCTGGATTTGGCGTCTCTTCAACTGTCACAACGTCTTTGCTTCGAGCCACAAGCCTTGGAACTTTCTACAGCATGGAACTCCAGACCACTTGTAGATACTCTTTTATGGAAGATGAGAAAAGGAAAAGCAGTATCACGTTACAAATGTTTGCTTCATTCACATTTCCTTTCCTACTTGACACTGGGGTGCCTGACTATCAAACAGAAACCCCCCCAAATACCCTAGGCACCAAAGGGATCTCAAAGACATTTTGTTTCTGAGGGTTCTTACACCTACTGATATTTATCAACTTAGAAACTAAAACAGAATTTTAAATGTATTGTTTATTTAAAGTAATTATTATTAAATTTTATTACTCATTTTTAATTTCTTAAACATTATTTTTAAATTATTATGATGATTATGTGTTGACATAAATAATAATTTTTTTATAAAAATAGCTATTTTCAAAAAATACTTAACGAGAAGAGTGGCATTATTTTACATTTTAAAGAATCCCTTTGATATCTGGCTTAATCGAATACAGATTCTCATACCTGCTTCTGAATTCAATCTGTTGCAATATCACATACCACTTAACCTCTCGAAAACTCCACCATGTAATTGTGGGAGATTGAGAGTAAAAAAAAAAAGTGAAACATTTTAGGATTATTGTGAAATAGTCTTGTTCTTGTAGATCCCCTGAGAGGGTCTCCCGTGCTCCCAGGGTTGCCCTGGCCCTGGACCCACCATTCCGTGCAATCAAAGTAGGTCTCACTTCTCCCTCAGACTATCATTGCCTTTCTTCGATGCCACTAGTTATCAGTTACCTGAACAGTCTTCTAGAATTATCTACACATAAATGAAGATATAGGAATGTAGAGTTTTTATTAATTTTTAACAGTCAAGTATGAGCACTCTATACATTTCACCTCGGGTTTTCTGTTACACGTGTTGGGAAGCATTGCATTTTAGTACATGTCGTTATGTCATTTCTGCAGGTCTCCTGTCCTCCACCAAACGGATACAACAACACCCAGCTCTGCACAGTGCCACGGTATTCAGGTGGGTTGCTGAACAGCTACTGTAACTTACCACTTTCTTCAGTAAAGGACACAGGGCTTAATGGGAATAAAGGGGCCACACGGAGCAAGAACACATGTCACATTATCAGTACAGCTTTCCTCTGGCTTCTGCTTCCCTAAGAAGGCATGCAGCCCAAGTATTCAAAATTTGAGAAAGTATCCAATTTTTTACCATACTACAGGGGCTCACCCAGTATTATACTTGGGGCTTACCTCACTGTGCCAGAAAGACTTGTGTTAACAATCTCTGTGCCTATTTTTATAGGAATGTTTACAAACATGGATCTGTCTGGAAACACACTCACTATCATTGGTGTCACATAATCGTGAGGCAAGAAGGCAGGATCAGGGTCCAAGTGTCCCCAGACAGTACTTCTAAAAACTATTTCCCTGTGGTACTAAGTTAACAGAGATTAACCCTCTTAGTTCACAACTTCCCTGACATAGAAACATAGAATACCCCTCACCTGCAGGAAACCCTCCCCTCATAGGGTAATTTGGTCTAATTATACTGCAGGCTTCAGATGCTAAAGTTGATGCAGACCAATGAGGGTTCACTGCCTCTCTCTGAGATTTACTAGCTATATAATCTTCGCTTCCACTTACTTGTAAAATGGAAGTAATGATGCCTATCATTACTAAGTTATTAAGAATAATTGTAGGGGTGCCTGGGTGGCTCAGTCAGCTAAGCATCTGCCTTCAGTTCAGGTCATGATCCCAGGGTCCTGGAATCGAGCCCTGCATCAGGCTCTCTGCTCCGCGGGGAGCCTGCTTCTCCCTCTCCCACTCCCCCTGCTTGTGTTCCCTCTCTCGCTGTATCTTTCTCTGTCAAATAAATAAATAAAATCTTTTTTTAAAAAAAAGAATAATTGTAATTGTCTAGGGGCGCCTGGGTGGTTCAGTCAGTTAAGCATCTGACTCTTGATTTAGGCCCAGGTCATGATCTCAGGGTCATGAGATCGAGTCATTTCCTGTGTCCCTCCCCCATCATGCCCCCCTCGGCTCAACGCCCAAGGCCAAGTCTGCTTGAGATTCCCTCTCCTTCTCCCACCACCGTTCACTCAGGCGCCCGTTCTCTCTCAAATAAATAAGATCTTAAAAAAAAAAAAAGAGTAATCGTAATTATCTATAAGATGTGCCTACCACATAGTAGGTATTCAATGCTTGGCAATTGGTAGCCTCCTTCCTTTATTGTTCTATGAACAGGAATAAGACAGGAGACTGATCTTATGTCCTGGACTGGGCTGGCTCTTCACTGGAAACCCCAGTGGTGTAGCCTTTTAGGAAGCCTGGAGATCTCAGAGACTGGGGCAAGAGAAGATGGTAGAGGATTTTTTTTTCCAACGAAAAGGATCTCATGAGCTGTTTGTCATCATCTGATTCTAAATCAGAGATACGGATCTGCTTTCCTCCTCCCCCCGGCAAGGAAAACAGGCACCAACATCCCCTGCATTTCTGTCTCAACTTTCCAGTCTGCCTCTGAAATCACATGGGACAGCGTGGTGAGCCACAGAACCGAGAGAAAACCCACCAGGTTTGGACGAGCCCTTCGGGTGAGGATGGGAAACGAGAGATTTACTCCTGAACAATTCCCAGGAGTAGAACGAGCACCTGCAATAATTACAGGACAGACGTATTACGACCTCCATTTACAGATGAAGACACTGCAGTCTGGGAGACATGAGGTAAATTGCCAAGGTAGCACAGAGAACAAAGGCAGAGTCAGAATTCAAAGCCAGGTCTGCCCTACTCCAAAGCCCCAGCGTTGAACCACATCATCATGCGATTCTCCAGCTAGAAAGGAAACCAGCCCTGGGGTTGGATGTATGAATAAAGTAGCAAAGCCAGCAGCTTCCTAGGGATGGTCTCACAAGAGAGACAAGTTATCTGTAACTGTAAGTTAATGACTTTATTAGCCCAATATTGTACCTGAAATAAAAATCAAAATTCTTCAGAAAATCATCCCTACACTAGACACAAAAGTAAGAATGGTGGGACACCAAAGCCAAGATTTAATTACTTTGGGATTTATAGATTATTTATTTTATTTAATTAGTGTTTGATTAGATCAGTTATTAAGATGAATATGTTGTTTCGATTTATAGATGACTATTTTGAATAATGGGTAAATAATGTAATATTAATTTATCCAGTGGCATTTCTAGCTCCTAGTGCATATCAGGTGCTGCAAGTGCTACAGGTTAAGGAGACATGTCCCTTGGCCTCCAAGAAGGTGTATAATGTATATCATAAGATATAAGGGCTATAACCATATATGTATATGGGTTGGGGGGGTAATAAGATAGACAAGAATAAGGTGCTAAAAGAAGGAGAAATGTGGCCAGTGGGGTGTTCAGGGAAGGCCTGAAGGAGTGAAGAGGCATCACCTAGCTGCCTCTTGAAATATAAATAGGATTTTGTCAGCCTTGGAAGAGAGGGATGGCAGGTTCAGAGAGGCTACGGGCTTAATCTGGCATGGGAGATGCTTTAGAAGAGAGACAAGGGGCAAAGGGGCCGACCAGATCCTGACCTAGAATAACAACATCAGGAAGGGAAAAGAAAGAAATGGCAATGCAGAGAGAATTGAGGGTTGACCAGTGATTTGCTACAGCAGGGAAGAAGGAAGGCGTCAAAGAAGTGTGGGTTTCCAACCTGCATGTGACCAGGAGCATGTCATTATTAACAAACCTGGGAAAACCAGAAGAGGAACTGGTACATAAGGGAAGATGGTGAGTTTGGTTTTGAACATAAAGAATTGGGTTCCTTAAGGGGCGCATGGGTGGCTCAGTCTGTTAAGCGTCCGACTCTTGATTTCGGCCCAAGTCATGATCTCAAGGTTGTGGGATCGAGCCCCACGTCGGGCTCTGTGCTGGGCGTGGGGTCTGCTTGGGATTCTCTCTCTCTCTCCCTCCACCCCTCCCCCCCTTAAAAAAAAATTGGTTTTCTTAAGATGGAAACAGGTAAACACGTGGAGCACAGAGGTAGAAATTAGGGTCTGGCATTCAAGAGAAGGTTCAGTTTTAGACATACATATTTGAACATCAAATACATAAAAGCAGTAAGTGAGGTCTGAGGCAGATAAGATGATCTGAGAATAAGAGAAGAAAAATGGGGCGCCTGGGTGGCTCAGATGGTTAGGCGTCTGCCTTCGGCTCAGGTCATGATCCCAGAGTCCTGGGATCGGGTCCCGCATCGGGCTCCCTGCTCCGCAGGGAGCCTGCTTCTCCCTCTGCCTCTCTCTCTCTGTCTCTCATGAATAAATAAATAAAATCTTTAAAAAAAAAAAAAAAGAGAAGAAAAATGAAGACAAAACCTTGGGGCCCATCCGCCTTGAGTGGGTGGAAGATGACGAACATCTCCAGGTAAGAACCAGAACAACTCAAAAATAGTTTCTCCTCAGAAACCATCAGAAGCTCTGATCTAACCCGACTCCCTTACTTCACAGATGAAGAAAACCCAGGCCCAGATGGCTAACTGATTTATCTAAGGGCTCACATCTGCAAATCTGTAGCTAGATGGTTAAGTGACCACTGGGAAATCGCACTAACTCGGCCTTGCGCGTGCACCAGATAACACGGCTGGATTCAGAGAGGCCTGAGAACAAACTGGAAACTTCTTTTTATCTCTGCTACATTAGTTCAGCCCTGGAACTGTGCCCAACCACATAATCAGCTCAGGGTTCAGACCACATCTTACTCATCTTGTTGTCACTGCCCCTCTGCCCTCAACTTTCCCCACCATTGTCTCTGCCACCAGTGTTATTACAGAGTAGAAAAATCACAGATGATGTTCTTCTGAATGTGCACATGATCATAGACTTCTGGAGTTGAAAGAACTTAAGGCTTCATCTAGTATTAGTGTAACGTCTGATAAAACAGACCCAGGGCAGTCCAGTGACCAGATAACCGGTTATTAGTAGAGCTCAGACCAAAATTCCAGTCTCCTGTTTCTCTCCATTTCACCACCAACCTTTAGTGCAAGAGACTTATTCTTAAAGATTTATTTGTTTATTTGAGGGAGAGAGAGAGAGAACGT